TTTTGAACCGTTGGTTTTGTTTCCAAAGCTTCAGTACTTAACGGCACTTACGTCTGCCTTACTGCAAATGCCCTAGAGAACTCTGAAGGCGAATAGAAATGAGATATACAACTCTCTGCTTGCAGCGTGTCAGTCACGCTTGACAGGAAAGTGAGTGAAACACACACAAACACACATTTTTATCAAATAATACGTCATTAATAGCGGTTCACTTCCGTGATTTGGTACGATTGCGTTCACATCAGCAGCGAACCGTACCGGAGTTCACTTGAACCGTACCCCAGACCACCCTTTTTAAGCGGACTCGGGTACGGTTCGCGGGTGCGCACCCGAGTTCGGAAGACAGCGTTCCGTTCACATCATCCAAACGTACCGAACTCTGACGTCAATCGAACCCGGGTGCGCACCAAAGTGCTAGTGTGAAAGCACCCTTACTACAAGTTTATTGGTAAGACTACAATAAGGTTCCATTTGTTTACATTAGTTAACATGAACAATGAAAAATAATTCTGAAGCATCTTAGTTTACTCAACATCAACATTTACTAATACATTATCAAAAACAAAAGTTGTATCTGTTTATATTATTTAATGAATCTAAGCTAACATGAACAGACAATGAACAGTTGTATTTTTATAACATTAACAAAGATTAATACTGTAACAAATGTATTTCTTATGTAATGCTTATATAATGATTTTTATATAATAATTATATTTAAAATATATAATATTTATAATTTTTAATAACATTAACTAATGAGACCTTATTGTATAGGGTTATGTTTTTTTTTTAACTACAGGCATATCTTGCAGTAAGTCACCTTAGTTTTCATTTACATTTTTAAATACCTTTTGGCTTGTCATGTTGGTTTTTAATGGTCTATTACAAATTCCATGTACTCTCTCACTCAAGATGAGCTCATAAAAGATGTAAAATAATTAAATACAAGAAATAGCAAAATGCTATTTAAGTTAGCATTACACACTATATCAGTGACCTGAAGTTACATCTCATATCCAACACACAGTTCCCAGGAAATCTGTTTTTTTTTTTAATCATAAGAAATGTCATTATTTGAAATAAAATAAACATTAAGTAAAATAAATTAAATAAATTATTAAATAACTCATTTTCATTTAAAGTTGAAAGACTAAAATAACTAAAACTAAAACTTAATAAAAACTACATAGACAAAAAAAAACACAAAAACGAATATAGTGACAAAAACTAAATTACTAAAACTTTAACATTTAAATGAAACAGTAAATATAAAAATAAAACAATAAAAATTCTGAATATTAACAAAAACTATATTTGTATGTCAATGATACTAAAATAACACTGATTTGCCAAAGTTTAATGTTTGACAAGGCCTTACCAACATTCTAACATATTACTCCTCTCCCTGCCCGGTGTAGTAAATTGGATGCATTCATCTACGATGCAGCGGTCTTGAACTACATGGCTGGACGTGATGAGGGCTGTAAACTGGTGACCATCGGCAGTGGTTATATCTTTGCTACTACAGGGTATGGCATTGCCATTCAGAAAGACTCAGGCTGGAAGAGAGCAGTGGATCTCGCCATTCTGCAGCTCTTTGGAGATGGTAAAGACATTTTATTTTTTTTTTATTGTTTTTTTATTGGATGATTGTGATGAATTAGCCACTAGCCTTAATCTGCACAAATTAGTTCAAGATTAAAGATATTTAGGGGACATTCACTAAGAATGAATCTGCATTGTCTGCATTCTTTTAGCATCTGGTTCACTGAAAAAAATTCAGCGAGTCTGGTCACCACAGATGAGCGGATTGCACGATAGCAGACGGTGCCTGATTAAAATGGTTTGTGGGTGGTTAGTGAATAAGGCAGGTTTTTGCGATGAAAAGCTGTTCACAAAAGTGGCGCGAATGTGTAGAGGATTCACAGCTTGAGATGTTTACTTCATTCACTTCTTCTTAAAATTATTCTCAATGTGCCCTCAAGGCAAACAGTTTTGAACAATACCTGGCAAGAGATGACAAGTGCCTACACTGTCTGTTAGAATGCCAACAAACACAAAATGGTATTAGATGTGTGAAAATATGGCATCCTGTTTTTCAAAGCTTCCTTTGTGTGAAATTCACATTCTGTTAAAGCATAATAAAGCTAATATCGAATTAATGTACTCATCAAATCAAGGATTCATCTCATAATGTGCTCTGTAATAATATAAATTACTATAGTTTACACAGGTGATGCAAAGCTAAAGCTAAAGTTGTTTTAGGTTTTCTTTCATATTAGTCTGTTTGCACAAAGGATATAACTTTGTGTTTATGATTATTATATAAAATACAGCAATATATTTGCATTAAATATGGAGGGGAAAATGTGGAAATTTGCAATGTACAAATGAAAGTTGTTGATGGTAATGTTAGATTTGCCAATATTAAGCAAATTTACTGTACCAATTATATATATATATATATATTTATTCAGCAAGGATGCATTAAATTGATCAGACCTCACAGTAAAGATGTATAATGTTACAAAAGATTTCTATTTCAAATAAATGCTTTTCTTTTAAACTTTCTATTCATCAAAGAGTCCTGCAAAAAATTAACACTTTCCACAAATATATTAAGCAACTTTGTTCAACATTGATTATAACAAGAAATGTTTCTTGAGCAGCAAATCTGCATTTTATATTCTGAAGGATCATGTGACACTGAAGACTGGAGTAATGATGCTGAAAATTCAGTTTTACCTTCACAGGAATCTATTACATTTTAAAATTTGTATTAGTAAATTTGTATTTGTAATTAGTATATAGTATACTAATTTAGTGTACTAAGTAACTATACTAGTTGTACTGTACCAGCAATAGATGTACAGCATTGAAAAGTGTTTATATCCACATCTCTAATTCAGTTTGATTCGAGCGCTTTCCTAGTGATTCAGATCCAGGGGCCATTTCTAGAAATCATCATCTCTTCCCCAAACAGCATCTGAGATGACAAGCTGTTTGGAACACATCCAAAGACACATGCAGAACATGCCCTATGCACCCCACACACGCATAAACAGTGTTAACAATTTTAGACACTTAGGATGACATTTTGTAAAGAGATCTTATAGATACTGTATACGGGCAGTCATAGAAAATTCTATCGGATACATTTATATAATATATATACTCTACTTAATGATTCCTCATGCATGCATGGTTATGTCAAGCAAGCGGGACGCATTAGATTAGATTAGTGGCAAAGTGAGTGTTCATATGCATATTGACAAGCAGGCAGTGCACACTGACAGCAGTATGGAATCGGAAAGGTATAGGTGTATCACATGTTATTATATAAGCCAGCATATGATCCAGGAGCAGGAATAGAGTCCTATTTGCAAGTGTCAAGGTGGCACTTGTGTTATCTCAAAAGTACATTGGGAAGGCATCAACTGTGTGACATATACATGTAGGTACACATGAATGCACCGGCACAGCATGTGAACACCCGCGCACACATTCACCCTCACATAGGTGTCGTGTTTTTGACGGATTTGAAGCCTGAAGTCCCCGACTACAGTTCCCAGTGTGGCATAGAACTGCGACACTGAATGGATGGATCCTTTTGCATGTGTGTTTTTTTTAGTGTGCGAAAAAGTATATTTGTGTGTATCTGCATTTGTCCCTAAAGACAGACCTGCAGAACACCGAATGGCGTTTTGGAGTTTGATCCTGTCCCTCCTATGCGGGCTGTCAGGCCCCTCAGGGCCCTTATTAGAGCTGGGAACCAAATCTCAAGTGACTCCCATAAGCAATCATTAATGTGAAGAGAGCTCAGTGTGTGTGTGTGTGAGTTGGATTAATCCGTTACGACAAATGTTACACTTCACAGGGGCCGTAATTTGTTTACGGTGCAGAGTTTTGTGGAGGCTCTAAATAAATACAGTGCTGAAACGCATTGAAATCGTCACAGATAGACAAACGTGAACAGACACGTCTGCTAACAGTAAAGCTTGAGAGCATTCGAAGCTCACAGACACACAAAACACACAGCTGGAGAGGCAGAAAGAAAAAGATGCACAAACAATCACTCTCTTTCTAACCCACATTCAAATGATAGAAAGTGCGATCTTTTTTCTCCTTCTTTGTAGGTGAGATGGAGGAATTTGAGGCCCTGTGGCTGACTGGCATCTGCCACAATGAGAAAAATGAGGTGATGAGCAGTCAGCTGGATGTAGACAACATGGCAGGTGTGTTCTACATGCTGGGAGCTGCAATGGCCCTGTCCCTTATCACATTCATCGCAGAGCACCTCTTCTACTGGCAACTGCGATTCTGCTTCATGGGTGTGTGCTCGGGCAAGCCTGGCATGACCTTCTCCATTAGCAGGGTGAGTGGCAGATTCACTTTTGATCCAAAGGCAAACAACCACCAAGACTGACTTCAGGAGCCAGCAGCCTATTGAGTTTGTGAAGGTTTGGAGATTAGGAGTACTGTTAAGAGAGATTAATAATAATTTTCTGCATTGGCATCTCTGTCTTATTGTCCAGTCAAAATGTATTTCCTATCCTAGGTAGTGACAGGTTTGTTGTCTAATTTGTGACACATCAAAGTGTAACAGATTATCAAAAATAACAAAACAACAACAAAAAAAAAAACAACGTAGGTGGGGTTTTTGTTCTATGAATCGTTATTTAATTGGATTTCGAGATGAGCCGTTCCACACAAAAGTAGCAGCAGTTGAACTTGAACTTAAAGGGAGTGGGGATTAAGTGGTCTAAATGATTGGAGAAGTCCTACATATTACATTTTCAATAAAAATTACAAAGTCAAAAGTAAAAAAAAAAAAAATCATACACAAGCAAGTATTATGGAAGCCTGTTTCTGCCACTGAATACATTTTTTTTTTAAAGTAACTGCGACATTTTATCTCACAATTCTTTTTTTCTCAGAATTTGCGTGATACAAATTCACAATTCTGAAATTTTTATCTCAGAACTGTGATGGAAACTCGCAATTACGAGAAAAAAATAGTTATTCTGACTTTCTCACAATTCTGACTTTTTTTCTCACAATTCCGATTTTATATCTCACAATTCGGAGAAAACAGTCAGAATTGCGAATCTGTATTACGCAGTTCTGAGAAAAACAGTGAGAATTGTGAGATAAAAACAGTTACCTTTTTTTATTTTTTATTCAGTGGCGGAAACGGACTTCCATAAAGTATGAATTGTTCACAATAAGATCTGTTAACATGCATTTAGAAAATATTTCACTTTATGGCAAATTTATGTATCTAAAAAATGTCAAAAAAATTTATCTTGAATGTGTATATTCTCAGCCCATCTGAAAATTACTTTTTTAAAATAGTTTTAAGCATAAACAGTCACTTTTGTTTGAATTTACTGTTTTAAGGATGCTTAAGTATTTTTACCTAAGCATGTTATTTAAAAAAAACAAAACACACAAAACAAAGATAATGATTAAGAAATTGATTTTGCAGAGTAAAAACAATTTTCTATCATCAGCAGATAACTAAAATAACTTTTTTAAATAAAATGTGCAAAGTGTATAAACATTTCCTTCACATTAGAATTGTCAACACTGATTTTTATGCTGAAAAAGCCAGAAACGTCTGGATGATAATTACATTTGATTTGAGGGCTTAACTACATTTTTTAGTGGTATGGTACATATTTATTTTTGTACATTTAAATCATTCTTTTTCTTTTGTTCTGATGTATGTGGGGGAAAGGGTGAACATACTTTTCAATGCCCATTTTGCACATAATGCAACATTATAAATCAGGCCCCTGATCTTGAGCTAACCGGGCAAAGCAACAGTCTCTCATTCCAGACATTCGGACATCAAATCATGCCTCAAGCGATTTGGAATGGTGCCATGAACCACATAATGGCGGGGATGAACACAGAGAGAGTAAATATCAGTTTATGTGACCAAACTGGCAAGTGACTCAAACATAAACCTGGGTTTACCTGAGTTCACAAATGATCGAAGCTAAAAGGATAAAAGATTGCTATATTAGTCTGTTAGCCACAAGGGCAATTTGTATGACCAGTTTCCTCGGCTACAAGTACAGACATAGGAAACCGATTTTCTTACTAGATATATTTCCCCTTTGAGATGCAGATGTGTGTTTGAAC